TTTTAAAAAATAAAAAAAAAAATCTTTAAAAAAAAAAAGAAAAATTCTTGAGTTAACTTTCCAATCCACAGGTGCTGACTTTGTTGACCCACCAGCCACCAAGCATTGGTGCCGGGCCAGGTGTTGCTCAAAGCACTTCCCAGACCCTGTTTCATTGACTCCTCCCCATAACCTCACCTGCTAGGTTCTACAAAGTATATCCCAGTTTTACAGAAGAAGGGACTTGGGGCGGAAGCACAGACCTGTGAGTAAACGTCAGAGGTCAGTTCAGAGTCCAGGTTCCTCTCATTCATCAGTTCTTAATTATTATTTTTGTATTTAAGTGGCTTCGATAAAGCCATTTTTAGACAGCCAAATATACAAATTCCAGTAACTATGAAAGCATATTTATCACTTTTGTGTACTTCTGGGGGGGGCGGAAATGAAGATTTGAAATAGAGTGAGATTTTAACCCTGGAACATGAAAGAAAGGAGAATATTTATCCAGATCATTTCCCGTGGTTTCGCCTCCAGTAACCCAGGCATGACGAGACACGCACCGGGCGAGCTCCTCGGGATGACGCACGGTTGTTGTCACAGGGAAACCAGCCTCCCAGACTGACTGGGGACAAAATAGCAATGGAAAACTTTCCACCCAGTGGAGCATCGCGCGCAGGTGCGCCGGGCTCCGCACCGCCGGTGTGTGCTGCCCCCGCGCGGCCGCACTGCGGTCCTGCACCCGCAGGGGAGCGCACCTGAGAGCCCTCGGGCCCCAGGAATGGGAGCAAGTCCAAGGTGGGCTGCCTGCCCTCCTGTAGCCCTAAGTCCTGGGCTGGGGAGGGGAGTCTTTGAGCAGCGGGGCACGGGGGAGGAATGGCGCCCTCTGGCGTCGGGCAAGGCGGCGGCCACTGGTAACTGGGTTAACCCACCCGGTCCTCCCTGTTACCCTGCAAGGTGCCGACAGGGCCAGGGAGGGGAAGTCGTTATAGTGCCATAGTGCACGGATGGCTTTGAACCTAGGTGTTGAGCAGGAAGGAGAAGGAGATGGAGGGCTCCCGGCCTAAGAACCCACGTTCTTGGCAGGAGGCTTGGCAGGAAGGTGAGGAAGGAAGGTGGGGGTGGGGGGACTCTGGGGTTTCCGGCCAATGGTACTGCATGGCTGGGGCTAGGTGTGGGGGAGCTCCTGGCCTCTGTCATTGGATTTCCAGGCTTGTGGGCCCCTCTGTGTCCCTTGCCTCCTATGGTCTGAGCAAGCACAGAGCCGCAGAGAGGCCTTGCTGAAATCTCGCTTGGGGACCAAGCTCTGGAGGGGGTGGGGGGACAGCTGACGGAGGTGGGATGGAGACCCAGCTTGGTCTTTTTTTTTAATTTTTTTTTTTTTAAGATTTTATTTATTTGCGAGGGAGACAATGAGAGACAGAGAGCATGAGAGGGAGGAGGGTCAGAGGGAGAAGCAGACTCCCTGCTGAGCAGGGAGCCTGATGCCAGCTTGGTCTTGAGAGCTGCCCCGAGGGGCTGCCCTGGCCGTCCTGCCCGGACCACAGGGTCCAGGGGGTTTGGTCAGTGTGAGGATGAAGACCATCGACTCAGCCTTAGTGACAGTAGAATTCTCGGTATGGCGCGGTGCTGGGTGATAGTGGGGGAGGAGAGGGAGGAAGGAAAACAAATTGCAAATCCTACTTTCTGGCCCTACTGTGTGATTCCCAGCAACCTGTCAGGCCCTTCCCCAAACCCACGCCTCCTCCCCACCCCCACCTTGGTGGGCAGCACCGCCAACCGCCCTTCATCCAAGCTTTCTGAGGGGGACGGCTGACCCCTGCCTTGCTTTACCTCTCTTTCTTCAACCCTCTGTTGGGAACAAGTGCACAGGTCTCTCACGGTTCCGCACACTGATCTTTGATCTGGGTTATCTTTTCAGGACATCTGCGTATCAGACAACCTGGGCATATATGGTGTCTCCATCTGGGGCAAAACGCAGGCATGCTCCAGCTTGATAAAGATAATGTCTCGGGGCGCCTGGGTGGCTCAGTTGGTTAAGCGACTGCCTTCGGCTCAGGTCATGATCCTGGAGTCCCGGGATCGAGTCCCGCATCGGGCTC